GCGTCCGCCCCAACCCCTAAGCCCTAAACCCTAAACCCTAAACCCTAAACCCTAAACCCTACTTCTTCGGGGCTGAGGCTGCCGCCTCCGGTGGCGCCTCCGAAAACCACCAATTGGAGGTTATCGACGCAGCAAGCTGCATGCGCTGCTCGAGGGTTTGGAGGGTTTTCAGCAGAGAGTTTTGTCCAAAAAGAAGAAGAAACTTCAAACACAAAAGTCTCGTTTGTTATGCTGTAGCCCCCTGCAGCTGCGCGCAAACCCTCGTAAACCCTAAACCCTTTTTTGCGCTTCTGCGCCTGGTCTCCTCGCAAACCCTCCTAAACCCTAAACCCTTTTCTCCTATCCGCCAATCCGTTCTAAACCCTAAACCCTCTTTTCAATGTCGGCGTTTTCTTCTTTTCGCAAACCCTCGTAAACCCTAAACCCTTTTCCTTAATTTCCGCTTCTTTCTCTTTTCGCAAACCCTCGTAAACCCTAAACCCTTTTCCAGACAACTAAAAACAATTTGAAAAGGACACGATTAAAAACAAACTCAAGAGCAGCAAAAAAGCAGCAAGACAGTCGCATCAGCAGCAGCAACAGCGCATCCCCAGCAGCCGCAGCAGCAGCAGCAGCAGCAGCAGCAGCAGCAGCAGTGTACGTACACCCCACCGCGCCCCCGAAAACCACAACTCTGTTAAACCCCACATAAGTAGAAGTGTGTCCAAAGCGAGCTGAGGGGGCCTCCCCGACATGAAATGCTGCTCGGGGGCCCCCTGCTGCTGCTGCTGCTGCTGCTGCTGCTGCTGCGGAGGCGGGGGGGCCCGCGGCCGCGGAGGGGGGCCCCGCTGCTGCTGCTGCAGCAGGAGCTGCTGCGGGGGAAGCTGCTGCTGCAGCAACGCCGCTCGGGGCCGACGAGGAGGGCACGCCGCCTGCTGCTGCTGCTGCTGCTGCTGCTGCTGCTGCTGCGAAGCCGCCACTGCCGGCGGTCAGGGCACTCATTGTCGCTGCTCTAGCTGTTGCTGCTGCTGCTGTTGTTGCTGCTGCTGCTGCTGTTGTTGCTGCTGCTGCTGCTGTTGCTTCGATGCGGGCACTGCGCCCGGCCGCTGCATTTATCGGCAGGCGGCTCGCCGAAATGAAGCTGCTGCTGCTGCTGCAGTTGTGTTGTTGTTGCTGCTGCTGCTGCTGTTGCTGCTACAGTTGTGCTGCTGCTGCTGCGACGGCAGCTGGGCTCAGACTTATCTCTTGCAGCAGCGGCGGCAGCAGCCGCTGCTGCTGCCGCCGCTGCTGCTGTTGTTGCTGCTTCTGTTGCTGTTGCTGCTGCAGCCCTGTATGCTTCCCCTTGGGGGCTTTGCAGGGTGCTGCTGGCTGCTGGCCGTGCGGCTGCTGGTGTTGCTGCTTCTGCTGCTGCTGCTTCTACGCTCACGCTGCTGTTGCTGCTGCTGCTGTCCTCGGTGTGTCCAAGCCCTAATTTCCTCGTAAAGACACAGGTTAACTCCACCAACAGCAGCAGCAGCAGCAGCAGCAAGAGCAGCAGCAGGGGAAGTGCCCCCTCCCAGCTGCGGGAGATGAGAATGGCTGTGCTGCGCCGCTGCTGCTGCTCAGACTCCTGCTGCTGCTGTTGCTGCGGCTGCGGCTGCTGCTGCTGCGCAGCGAGCGAAAGAGGCGTTTTGCTGTTTCGGCTGCTGCTGCTATTGCTGCGGCTCCCGCTGCTGCTGCAGCTGCTGCTGCTTTTGCTGCTACTGTTGTTGTTGCTGCTGCTGCTGCAAGCCTCAAGGGCCCCCAAAACAAAAAGGGAATTGGCTCGAGATGAACTCTGCCTCAAGTCCCCCGCCAGGTGCTGTCCGCCTTGCTGCTGCTGCTGCTGCTGCTTCTGCTGCTGCTGCTGCTGCTGCTGCTGCAGGGTTGTTGCTGCTCGACTCCAGCAGCCAATCAGGACAAGCTCAGCAGCAATTATAAATAAAGTTAAAGACAGGCTTTTGAAGGGGCCCCAGCAGCACGTGCTGCTGCTGCTGCTGCGCAGACAGCGAGCAGCAGTGGCTGCTGCTGCTGCGGCTGCTGCTGCTGCCTTTTTGCTGCTGCTGCAGCTCGCTCGCCACTGCTGCTGCTGCTGCTGCTGTTTTAACTTCAAATTAAAATTAATGAACAGAATTAAGCCCAGCAGCAGCAGCAGAGACACTCAGGTGTATCTCCAGCTGGCAGCAGCCCTGCGGCGACCGCTGTCTTAGGGCCCCCAAACCCTAAACCCTCAAACCCTAAACCCTAAACCCTAAACCCTAAACCCTAAACCCTCAACGCTAAATCGTTGACTCGGAACCGCAGACTCGCAAGTCTTGCAGCTGCTCTTGAGGCTCATCCCAGCTAGCTTTGGTTTCTGCTGCCTGGGAGGCTCTAGACCCTAAACCCTAAACCCTAAACCCTAGACGCTAAACCCTACGCTGCGATTCCTCGTTGGCACAGACTTGACAGCAGCAGATACTCTCGACTTTCCTGCTGCAACGAGCAGCACCACAGCAGTAGCAGCAGCAGCAGCAGCAACAGCAGCAGCAGCAGCAGCAGCAGCAGCAGCGCGAATAACAGGGGGAGAAGCAGCAGCAAAACCAGCGGGATCTGCAGCAGCCCCAGATGCTGCTGCTGGGCGCATTTGCTGCTCCCATACCTCCCTGCAGCAGCAGACCGCAGCAGCAGCAGCAGCAGCAACAGCAGCAGCAGCAGCAGCAGCGACAGCAGCAGCAGGAGTAGTGGAGCGGCGATGGCGTACAGCGGGGCGCTGCGTCGCAGCAGCAGCAGCAGCAGCAGCAGCGTTGTGGATGTAGGAAGCGGGCGTTTCAAGCGGAGCAGCAGCGGGAGCAGCAGCAGCAGCAGCAGCAGCAGCTGCTGCTCGCTGCTGCCGGGGGCGTTCTTCCTGCTGGTGTCGATGCTGCTGTACTCGGTGCAGCAGTTTCTGCTGATTTCTCTTTTGTTTTTTCAAACAAGATGTGCTTTTGTCTTTCTTTTTCTCTGTTGGGACATTCCTTTATGTAATTATTCCTTTTTATTCCAATTCTCCTTTTTAATTCCTTTAATTTAATTCCATTTCCTCTTTTTAATTTCGAAAATCCAAAATTCCAATTCCGACCTCCCTGTGCACCCCAGCCTTCGGGTGTACGTACACCTCACGATTTCTCCGCCTTTTCTTTTTCCTTTCTTCCAGTTCTTTCTTTCTGTCCTTCTTATTTTATTTTTAAATAATGAACAAATAAATAAATAAATGAATAAATAAATAAATAAATGTAAAGGCAAATTCGATTATGAATGAATGGTGCTGAGGTGTACGTACACCTGCGGGTCTGCTCTCTGTGAAGTGCAGGTTGCTGAACTTCTGCATTCTTTCATTTCTTTTTTTCTTTTTTTAAAATAATTTAATCACAAAAACAAAAAATTAAACACTGCAGAGAAACTAATGCGACGCGAGACGCAATGCCGGCTGTTCCTTGTGCTGCTGCTGCTGCTGCTGCTGCTGTTTGTTGCGCTGCTGCTGCTGCTGCTGCTGTCTTTTGCGCTGCTGCTTTCGCTGCTGCTGCTCCTCTTCCCGCCCTCGCGGCTGCTGCTCTGCCGCTGCCCCTGCTGCTGCTGCTTCTACTGCTGCTGCTGCTTCTGCTGCTGCTGCTTCTTCTGCTGCTGCTGCTGCTGCTGCTGCTGCAGTGCTGTACATGGCAGCAAGTTTGTCTCCTCAAGCAGCTTCTTCTCCAAGTGCTGCTTCTGTCCGCTGCTGCGTTCACTGGATGGCTTACATTTTGACTTTTTGTGAGAAGTTCAACTTCAGAACAATTTAAAACAATTTTAATCGATTTTAATCTAATTTGAACAATTTAAATCAGTTTAAATGACTTTAAATCAATTTACATCCATTTAAATCAATTTAAATCAGTTTAAATGACTTTAAATCAACTTAAATGACTTTGAATCAATTTAAATCAATTTAAATCAATTTAAATGACTTTAAATCAGTTTAAACCAATTCAGATGAATTCAAATCAATTTACATCCATATAAATCAATTTTAATCAATTTGAAGCATTACAAATAGATTTAAATCAATTTAAATGAATTTAAATCAATTTAAATGACTTTAAATCAGTTCGAATCGTTTTAGAACAATTTAAAAGTTTTAAAATATTTAAATTGTTGAAATAATTCGAAAGCAATTTAGAAATGATTAAAAACAATGTAAACTTTTTTCATATTTTCTTTATATTTTCCTTGTAAATTTTTTATATTTTCTTTCTTATATCTTCTTTTTTATTTTTTCTTTTCTAGATTTTCTTTTTGAAATTCTTTTCTTTATTTTTTTTAATTTTCTTCTTTCGAAACTTCTCAAATTAATTCTTTTAAAAATTTCTTTTTTTCAAATTTCCGTTTTTTCAGTTTTTCTTTTTAAACTTTTCTCTACTTTCCCATTTTTGCCTTTCTGCTTTTTCTTTTTCTCTTCTTTTTTGAAATATTTCTTTTTTAAAATAAATCTTTTAAAATAATTCTTTTTAAAATAATTCCCTTCAAAATAATTCCTTTAAAATAATTCTTTTTAAAATAATTCCTTTTTAAATAATTCTTTTTTAAATAGTCGAAAGGTTTTCTTCAAGACAATTCCTCTTTAAACATTTCTTCGTTAGCAACCGAAATATTTCCTTTTAAAATAATTCTTTTTCAACCAATTATTCCCAGAGTAATATTTAAATCAATAATTATTATTTGTTTACAAATTAGTTTTATTTTATTTTTAATTTTCCCTCAGGTGTCAAAATGGGATTAATTGCTTTTTACAGAGACACCCCAATTCCGGTGTCTCCTTCGTGGCAGTACCCGCAGGTGCAGCAGCAGCAGCAGCAGCAGCAGCAGCAGCAAGACACAGACACCAGCAGCTTCCTCTCCGACGACTTCTTCTCTCCTGACCTCATCTACAGTCAGCCTTACTTATTACTTTATTTATTTATTTCTTATTTAATTATTTTATTTACTTCATTTATTTAATTCATTTGTTTTATTTGTTATATTTATTTTATTTGTTGGCCCAGTTGCTTCTCATTCAATTTATATTTTGATTTATTTCTTTTTCAATTTAAAGATTTAAAAACAAACAAAAGAAATAAACAAATAAAGAAATAAATTAAATATAAAATAAAATCAAATAAAGACACAAACAAATAAGGAAACAAACCAAAAATAAAAACGAATAATTAAAAATCTAAAAACCATCAAATCAGCGCAAACCAACTCAAACAAATTAGATCAATCAAATCAAATTAAATCAAATCAAATCAAATCAAACAAACAAACGAACAAATTAATTAATTTAAATAAATAAATAAATAAATGAATAAATAAATAAATAAATAAATAAATTGCGAATTTGCGTTTAGGGGAAACGAGCAGCTTCGCGTTGGCATGCATTGGGGTGTATCTACTGCCGGTGTTGTTTGTGGTATTTTCGGCTCGCGCTCAAAACGAGTTTTCATTTTATTTTTCTGCTGCTTCTTCTTCTTCTTTTTTCTTTTCTTCTTCTTCTGCTGCTGCTGCTGCTGCTGCTCCTTACGGGGCCCCACACCCCGCCTTTTCCCCCTCTTTTTCTCCTTTTTCTTCTTCTTTTTCTTCTCCTTTTTCTTCTTCTTTTTCTTCTTTTTCTTCTCCACTTTCTCTCGAGTCTTCTCTCCACGCGGACCTCCGCCTCAGCCTCGCCCTCGACTTTCTCGACATCACTGTCATGTTCAACGACGCCCTAGGTCAGCTGCTGCTGCTGCTGCTGCTGCTGTTTGGCTGCTGCTGCTGCAGCTGTTTTGGTTGTGCCGCTGCAGCTGTTTTGGTTGTGCTGCTGCAG